CCCTTTGCATGGATGATAAAAAACACAAACATGACATTTTTATGCATCTTAAGGGACAGGGGCTTGCTTGTTTACTAGTTGAAGTTCTGGAGTTACTCAAACTCCAAGTAAATGAGGTCAGTTGATTTAAAATGACCATAATCCAAGGATAAACTTAGTTTTAAGCACAAAAAACGAATAAGGCGGAGGTCTTGAAGACTCACAATGCAGAATAGAGGATTAGAAGATGGTTTCTAGAGCTGAGCATGAGAACAAACACCAACTTGAACACTTGAGAGCTTTTTTGACCACCAAAACTTCAAGAAAATTTAAGGTATGAACATGGGGATAGGGTTTCAGGTTGGTAGGATAGAGTCTAATGATCTGTTGAAACCCCTAGAACTTAGCACTCATTAAATATCGATCAAGGCCCAAGATCTAGGTTTTGATCCTAGTCGCTACCGCGTCGCGGTCTACACCTGACCGCGTTGCCACTTAAGTTACATGGCCACGCCCCCGAAATCCACCTCGTTAGAACAACTCTGGATAATGTTTGTGTATTTCTTCACCTAATTCCTATATCCATTCTAATCCCTTTTGATGTTGCCATTGCATCTTCAATAATACCACTTCCTTGTTCTGAAGCTTCTTTGTCTTTCGCTCGACGATTGTGACTAGTCGCTCTACATAACTCAACCTCTTGTCCACCTGAATGTCCTTGAGTGGCACAATAGCGGCCTGATCCGCCAAACACTTTCTCAACTTTGAGACATGGAAAGTATTGTGGGTTTGCTGAAGTTCTGCTAGCAACTCTTACCGATAGGCGACCTTCCTGATCCGAGCCAAGATCTGAAATGAACCAATATATCGTGGTCCCAACTTTCCTCGCCTCCTGAAGCAAATAATCCCCTTCCATGGAGATACCTTTAATAACACAAAATTGCCCACTTCGAACTCCAGTTCCGACCACCTCTTGTTGGAATAACTCTTTTGTCGGATCTGAGCGGTCTTGATTCATTTTGTAATATGTTGGATGAACTCAATAGTCCTATGAACAATCTCGGTGCTCCCAAGCACACACTGCCCTGCCTTTCCCAACAGATCATGGTTCAACATCGCCTCACATATAGCATCTGGAAAAGGAAGTACTCTTATATTGGCATGATAACTATTATTGTAGGAGAATTTGGCAAAATGCAAAAACATATCCAAGTTTCCCCCAAAAGCAATAACGCAGACACGCAACATGTCATCTAATGTTTGAATGGTTTTCTCACTCTGGCCGCCAGTCTGCGGATGCTAAGTTGTACCGAACCTCAATTGCATGCCAAGATCCTGATGAAATCGCTTCCAGAAGTGAGATGTGAATATGGTGTCTCTATATGATATAACTGAAACTGGCACTCTATACGGGACACCACCTCCTTCACATAAATATCGACAAGCCGATCAGAAGAAGAACTTTCTTTGATGGCGATAAAATTGGGTTCTTGAGGATGGTGATTCACACTAAAATCATGCAACATACTTCAAAGAGCTCGCCATGTGTCGTAGGTAAACTCGTTGAGATCGAGAGTAAAGGGCACGTATGATCGGATGTTGGTGATGCTGAAGGGCTTGTCGATAGCACCTTTGTTGGTTGCATTAGTGACCATGGGGCGTTTTAGGGTTAGGTCCGACTACAGGAGGAGAAGATGAGGGTGAAGGGCATAGAAGGTTTGATTATAATGGTTTTAGGAGATTTGATTTGCTAGTTCTAATACCATAATCGTAGGCATATTTCCTTGAATGAGAATGTATAGGATATGACAATCACTACAAGAAATAGGGGCATTAGCGGCGAAACCTTTAGCGGCGACGCATGGCATTAGTGGCGACATGTAATTGACGCGTTACATGTCGCCGCTAATGCTAGGTGTCGCCGCTAAAGGTGTCGCCGCTAATAGTCACATAATGGAGATCCGCGTCAAACGAACCCCATCCGTTCGATTTGTTTTCAATCGTAGGGTTTAAACGGAACAAGAAAAGGCGCTGACTTTTCCCTCCAGGTGGTCGTCGCTAATGCCTCCGCGTCGCCGCTACTGCCCGTCGCCGCTAAATCCCTGTACAGATAACCCCCCTTTCAGCTTCCTTTCTATTCCTTTCTGTGTATCGTGTTTTGTCTGTGAAACCTCCCAGCCGACTCAATTTCGTTCGACGATCAATCGCGTCCAGCCATCATTCCTGCCACAAGACCGCCAACACTGCCGACCCAGCCTCCATTCCGTCAATTTCGACGAAGACTCGTATCACCAGCGACGACGAATCATACTACCGACGACGAGGAAGTAAAACCGGCGACCACAGGTGGTTTTTGCCTCCTTCTCCATCAATTTTTTGTTTTAATTTTCTTCTCCTACTGATTTAAGAGTGGTATTGTTGCAGCCCTGTAGATTTTTGCAATCTCTAGCAGGTTTTTTTTGTTTTCTGCCGGAAAAAACTTGATTGTCGGAAAGTTGTGTCAATACGTCATTACCACCCTTCTCCACTAGATTACACAACCAGGTTCCTTTATAACTTATGTATTTTTGTATTTATTATTATGTGTATGTACATATGTATTTGTATGTTTTTGTAAGTATGTATAATGTATGTATAAATGCATGTATATATGGTGAAAACAGAAAAAAATATATATGTTTATGTATGTGTGTTCGTTTTCCATATGTGTATATGAATTTGTATGTATAAGTCAATATGTTTATATATGTATATTTGTTTACCATTTATGATTGAAATTTATGTATAAGTGTATTTTAATATGCTAATTTTTACCATTTGTGATTGAAATGTATGTATAAGTGTATTTTAATATGTTAATTTTTAGCATTTGTGATTGAAATGTATGTGTAAGTGTATTTTAATATGTTAATTTATCATTGTGCATTGAAATGTATGTATAAGTTTTTTTTGAATATGTTAATTTTTTACAAGTTGTATGTATATGTAATAGTGTATGTATTGTGTGCAATTGGAAACTAGATGCTATAATGAAAAAATATGAAAAAAAAAACAAAAAAACAAAGTAGGGTACTATAATGGAAAGTATTATTTTTTATATGTGTATTTGTAGGTATAGAAAATTACGTTATGGCGGATGTTATGGGCCTAGGACATGGAGGTGATGGAGCCGGAGATCCACCACCTCCAGTGGGCTTTGGTCGTGGACAACACGAACAGGATGGTAAGTCACATTATGATATATTTATTACCTCCAGTGGGCTTTGGTCGTGACTAATATTTTTAAATATATTTTTCAGCTGAGCTTCCTAAAAAAAGAAGAGGCTAGCAAAAACATCCAACTATCAAAGCTGATACGGGCAAACAAGGGAAAGCCCGTAGATTTGGATTTCGACAGAGAGCTCACATATTCCCCTGTCGGGAAGCATGGTAATTGGTTTACCCGTGAGATTGGGAAGTATATGTGGATGAACATCCCTTTGAACGTATCTGGTTGGGAGAATGTTTCCCCCGCTTTAAGGAATGCCACAGTCGTGCATCTAAAGGTAACTTGGATATTATTTTAAGTTTAATTGTGATTGATATTTAATTAACTAACTTTTTTGTATTTGTAGAATAAGTTTGATTTGGATAAGGTTAACTTGGATCCCGAGCGTGCTCAGTTGTTGCAGAGCATTGATGCGACTTTACAAAGAGTTTATAGAGGCCGAAAAAATTAAGCGCATACTCATTTTCAGAATGCCGGGGGGCTTACAGATATCCCAAGGGCATTAGCCAACCCCCCACCCCCCCGGTATGTCACGTGAAAATTGGGCACAAGCAGTCGAACATTTTCAAACGCCGGAATTTTTAAAGCGTTCGGCGTCAAACAAAGGAGTATGTGCACAACAAGTAGTTGTAAACAGAGGGGGAACATGCTCGTATAGCAATGCATGTTTCAAAGAAGTAAGCTATGATATATTTAATTGTTTATTTAAATTATAATTAATCTAACTTTTAATGTTAAATAGGACATCACTCGAATTGAAGCATTTCGTAAGGCTAATACTGATCGCCAAGGGGTATTTAGTAGTCCTGCAGTCGAGCAACAATACGTAAGTGGTTAATTTGTATTTTTATATAAGTGTTTATATCATCAAGGGGTATTTAATAATCTAAATTTTATGATATTTATCATTTTTTGAAAATACAGAATGCATTACTCTTTGAGATCAGTCAACAAACTCAAGCTTCTTCACAAGCCAACGGTTTAACACCAAAGGATACACAAAATTGTTTTGAAAGAATATTGGTGTTCGACGAGAGGCCACATCAGAGGATCGGGCGTAAACCTTCTACAGTTGTGTCGATGTACGATCAGGAACAACCACTGACACAGCCACCGCCACAATCACAGGTGAGAAAACTATTTAATTTTGGTAATTGTTTCAAATGTTGGTAATTGTTAGTTTAGTAATAGTTTCAAATATAGGTAATTGTTAGTTTGATAATAGTTTATATGTTGGTAATTGTTAGTTTGGTTATAGTTTGATATATGGTATTTTTAGTTTGGTAATTGTAGTTTATGAAAGTTCATGTTATAATGTGTTATATGCATATGTGTAGTTTGGTAATTGTTAGTATATGAAAGTACAATGCTATATTGGTATTTTGTAGTTGGTGGTAATTGTTAGTTATAGTACAATGCCATAATGTGTTATATGCAATGTGTAATTTGGTAATTGTTAGTTTATGTGGCATGTTGTCTATTTTTTATATAGAATGTTATAATGTTAGTTTAACTTATAAACTATGTTGTTTTATTTGTAGTTGGAAATGCTTCAAACAATGTTAAAAGATCCGGAATGTAGTGCCGCATTTGAAGATTGGTTTCGTTCGTTGCCACAACGAAATGAAACCGGAGGAGACGATGAGAGCGATGATGACGAGTAGCTAGTTGTAGGATATTTGTATGTTTTGTTTGTGTAAGTATTTTAGACTAGTATTTTCGATATTTTGTATTATGTTAAATTGGATGAGTATCTTAAACGGATGTTGGATTAATATTTTGGAATGGAATGGTGGAATTAGCTTAATTAATATCATAATAGTTTTTTTATTTTTATGTAGTTTTTTTCAATTTTAAATGTGAAATATTAAAAAAAAAATAAATACCAATACCGGCGACGCCTTTAGGGGCGACAACCAGTTATTAGCGGCGACAAACCTTTAGCGGCGACACCCTATTTTTAGCGGCGACATGCCTTTAGCGACGACGCCAGTTATTAGCGGCGACATTTAGATTATCAGCGACGAAGCGTCAACGACGACGTTTTAGCGACGACAGGTCGCCAGCTCATTATGTTAACCCATGGATTATATTTAGTGTATATATTCACTACAAGAAAATAGAGTATTAGCGGCGACAGCCGTCGCCGCTAAAAGTGGCATTTGTCGCCGCTAATAGTATTAGCGGCGACAAATGCCACTTTTAGCGGCGACGGCTGTCGCCGGTAATACTCTATTTTCTTGTAGTGAATATATACACTAAATATAATCCATGGGTTAACATAATGAGCTGGGGACTATTCTCGTTAAGTTGAATTTGGGAATAAGGTGTTAGGATAAAGCAAATAATCAAGACTTTAGAATGGCAATGCTTGCACGTGTTTTCCCTTTACAAAAGGCTTTTTCCTATCTCTACAGGTTTCCTTTAATCAAACTATGGAACATAAATTTATTTTATTTTCTTGTTATTTCCATCAATTTTCTTTTTTTCCTTTGTTAAATTGAACTCAAAAACAGGGTGTTAGATAAAACAAATGTTCCGGACTTTACTAGTGGCAATGGTTGCGAGTGTTTTCCATGTATGTGGCTTCTTCCTATCTCAATAATGTATCTCTCACACAAGCTCTTTGCTTATGGGTTAGTTGTGTCATCCTAACAAACGACTAAATACATGATTTACTTATCACATAATAAACTTGAAATTGTTCGAGCCAACTAGAGTTGTCCGATTTCAGTTTTGTAGGGTTTGGAATAAAAATACTTTTTCGGTAACTTAAAATCTCCCTGCCCTATCACAAAGAATCCGACGGTTTAGATAGCATCCACATAAGAATACCCACGGTAAAAGCTCCCTGGCAGACACAGGATAATGTCCATAGCCTAGTCGCCATCGACAATCAGAGATCTATTAATATTGTGACATTTTCCTTTCCTTGATCTTGACAGCCTGCGTATTATAACATCTTCATGATCTTTTTTGGGTCTCTTTCCTCGATTATCGATCGACAAAATCCAGAGAAGTGCACACCAACTGTTTGTCGTTTTTGCTTCACTCGCCAGACTTCGATTTGACGTTTCATCTTGTTTGTTTTTTATGATAAAAATGACTAGTATGTGTACTTCTTTACCTTATTTTCCCCGTACTTCTGCTCAGCAGTTTCAGGAAACCAACTTATATATTGTCACCTGCTGCAGTGTCTGCTGACGACATCTTCCGTGTTCTCGAGGCTGATATGGAGTTTGTTTCGGGTCATGAACTCAAGGCCATGACATCTCTAGGTGGAGGAGTGTATGGTGTAAATCCACCGATGTCTTGTAAGTCGAGCTCTTTTGATGCTTTACAAGAGGTTATGGAGGTGCCAAAGACCAAGAGACTGAAACTGTCTGCTATGGAGGACGGCGGTGGTTACTCAGATGGGCAGCAGAAGGTATCGCATATCACGGTGGAGAGGAACCGGAGGAAACTGATGAACGAAAACTTGTCTGTTCTCCGTTCACTTATGCCTTGCTTCTATGTCAAAAGGGTAATCATCAAAACCAAATCTTGTTATCTTGGCCATAAAGCAATTGTACATGAAATCTCTAAATCATTTATAAAAGCTACTATTAATTAGTTTTATCATTCGTGCACCAACTGTATGAAACTTGCAGGGTGATCAAGCATCAATAATCGAAGGAGTAGTTGATTACATCACAGAATTGCAACAAATTCTACAATCCCTAGAGGCCAAAAAACAAAGAAAAGTTTACAGTGAAGTTTTGAGCCCTAGGCTTGTTTCAAGCCCCAGGGCCTTATCTCTCAGCCCCCAGAAACCGCATCTTAGCCCTAGGCCAAGCCTGCCGATTAGCCCCACAACCCCACAACCATACATGTCCAGGCTGCCGCCACCTTCACCTTCACCTTCAACTACTTTCATAACTTCAGACAGTGCTAATGAGCTCGTTGCTGCAAATTCAAGGTCAGCCATGGCTGAAGTTGAGGTCAAGTTGGTGGGTGGTAATCTTCTTCTAAAGACTTGTTCAAAGCGGGTACAAGGCCAAACAACGAAAGTAATAGCGGTTCTTGAAAAGCTAGCTCTTGAAGTTCTTCAGGCTAACATTAGTATTGTTGATGAAGCCATGGTTCACACCTTTACGATCAAGGTAAGCCAAAGATTAATATTTTTTTTGTTTTTTTTTTGGTTTTCATATTCACATGAATTTGCATGCATGCTTTTACTTCTCTGTCACCAAAATCAAGTTTGAGCAACACTTGGCTATTAACTAAAGCTACAGTCTGCGAAATTATAGTTTTATGAATGAATAACAAAAACATGAATGGAGATAATTTGCTCAAATCAGTATTTCAATCTATATTAGCAGCTTTTTCATAATATAAAATTTGTTTTTTGATTATGTTTGTAGTTTTAATTTGGTGTACTCATTTAATGAAATCATTAATGCTATAATGCTTTTTTTTTTCTTTCTATTGGTCCAATGTTACAAAAATTAAAAGTAAATTTATTGAAGAGTTCAATCGGACTTCCGAGTACGCCACATATAGGATTCGAAGCCTTATTCATTTAATATGCTTTTTATCTTGGACTTAATATTATTTACAGTCTTTTCATTCCAAGAAAAAACCTAATACTTTCTTACTGAATTTTAAAAAAAAAAATGTAATTTTTTTTTGAAGTTAATGAAAAATCATTTATCCTAATATTACCGTCGGTATTCCGTTGTTTCTATAATTTTTAATTTACACTGTTTTAAAAGTGTAAATTTGACTCTCATTCATGGTATAATTGTTTGATTGGTTTGTGCGCTTTCATTGTGGGTAGATTGGAGTTGACTGCCAACTAAGTGCAGAAGAACTTGCTGAACACATTCAACACACATTCGGCTAATCGTTACCTACCTAGTTGGTTATTGGTTCCCGGTCTCGTGATGGTAATCTTATTTCGAGATCACCACGCCTGATATGTGTTATGTTATATCCAATGCAATGTGCATGATATCCAAACAATTATGAAGGCTAGAAAACAAGAAAACTCCATCACCCAATAATATAGTTAGAGCTTGTTGATTAGTTTATTAACTTCTGTATTGATCATCCCGAACTTTTGTAGTAATATTGGTGTTCGAACCTTAAGAGTTTTGACATTGGTTGCCAATTTATTGTTGTGTGTGTGTGCATGTGTGATCATACATGATTTATAGTAAATAAGTGTATGAAAGATCTCAGGCTGGCATATATTTTGATTGTTTTCAATATAATATTATGCTATATTTACCTGAGTAATCCATGGCTAGATAAGTATATATTGGAGAATATATTCATAAGTATTTACTTACATATCATAAGATAAAATTTATTTGAATATGCTAGAGTATTAATGTATATATTTTTAATAAAATATACATACTGTGATGTATGTTAGACACTACTAGTGAGAGAGCAGCCATGAACTTGGTCCGTTAGAACATACATCACAATATGTGCTTTTTTCTAGTAGGGTCAAGTAGTCATGATGCCTTACCACTACGGATCAGCATCACAAATTCACAATTAGTTATAACAACCAACTAATTTGTGATGCTCGAATTTCTAGTAGTGTGATGCTAATCCGTTATTGTAGACCATTAGTGACAGAGCAACCATCGATAGAGTTAGCAAGAGATTATCCATTACTAGTTAAAAACATTTTTTACAACAAAATTTGCAACAATGTAGCCGATGATAATGTTTCTAGCTAATAGTGATAATGTTTCTAGCTAATAGTGACGAGATACTTCTAGGGTTCTTGATATTTAATAATTGTTTGCAAATAATAGTGAGAACATAGATCCTTTAGGGTGCATCTGAACTTTGGGTTTATGTTTTTCCGCCAAAAATTAGTTTCTGTAACATATAAAACCCATCACATTCTGAGGTTTTCCCGAAGATTGGTTGTTTCTGGACAGTTAGAAGTATAACATTATTTGAGAAGGACCATAGTGACACGTTCTGGATTGAGATGATTCTTGGTCAGAATTGATGGTCATCTGGAAATATGGAAATGTTTCCATACTGGGAGATGTTTGTAGAATCTACATGTGAGTTGGAAACTTTAATGCTAGAGAAGTGTTCAAGGAGTGTATCTTGAATTTGAGACATCATAACCGTGGAATTGTATCTAGTAACAAGTTCCAGTGAAATCTTATGTAATATCGAAGGCTCAATATCTGCGACTTTGGAACCTCGACATCACATAAAGACAATGCATGTAAAGATGAAATTTCACTACATCTTAGATAGTGATAAGAATTTCGAATCGTGAATTGAGCATCGTTGGAGTAATGTCCAGTCAATCTGTTCACAACTGAAGGTCCATGGAGAGGCATAGTATACATGTTCATGACATGGCATGAATGATGTTATCTACTTCAACTGGTTAGTTGATTACTCGAAACAATTTGCAACGAATAAATTCGAAATTGTTATGCTGATTAAATAATACATATTTATTTTGGATTAATGGGTATGATACCATAGTTAATTAATTTATTATTGTGTTTCACTTTGCATGTTTTATTTCCCTATGTAATTTTAATATTATTCAAAATTCCACAATCGTTCATGCTTTTTGAAAGTAAGTAGTGAATTAAAACTGTCATTAATTGATTGTAGATTGTCGATTGAGGTTAAGACATTGCAATGGGAATTGCTACAATATTCATGAGTACTTTGAAAATAGAGATTTTAAAGTATTGGATAAACCCACACTTAGAGATTACTTCATGGATTTAATCACTAGTAATTCTAGGACGATAATATCTTATATTCTTAAAGCAGAGATATGATGGGGTTTTATAGGTTACAAAAATCTTATTTTGATGGAAAAACTTAAACCCTAAGTTCACATGCAACCTAAAAGATCTATGTTCTCACTGTGATTTGCAACAAACAATTGAATATCAAGAACCCTAAAAGTATACTACTATATTAGAAATTCACAAAAGGGTTTTTAGGGTTTACATACCTTTTGATTATTGTAGTAAATAATCAGCAATTCCTTCTTGACCAAGCTTCAGAAAGCAAGCACCAAAAATCTCGTGCCTCTGATGGTTCACACCCAAAACCCTAATAACTATAAGACTTGAGGAGAGAGGTGACTAGAGCATAGATTTGGCTCTATGAAGATGAGAGGAAGAGTAGACGAAATAATACGAGCCAGGGAGGGGTTCATATAGCTGAAGGAAACTTGAGGTTAAAGTTAGGGTTTTTAGGATAAGGCATAGATTAATTAATATAATAGTCAAGCTGCCTTATGTCCTTATCCTAAGCATCATGAACGAAATTTGTAGGCTATTCATAGCCAAATTTCATTCACCCCCATCCCATGGGGTTCTAGAACTTTCTCGCTTCAACTTTCAATAAATAACCAAACAATCCCTGCACTTTTAATTAATTCAGTTAATCCCAAAATTAATTCCAAATAATTTCTGATTAACTCCAAATCAATTACTATTATTTCTAATTAATATATTAATCATGTTATATATTAATAAACTATTTAATTTATTAATAATATAATAAATTACCAATTCAATCTCTCTCTCTCTCTCTCTCTCTCTCTCTCCAAAAGTCATTCTATTCAGTTATTAGTTTCCGAGGGCAACCCAAAAGGAACTTTGCTAATAATTTAAGATTATACTAATTTAATTACTGGCTTAGACACCTAATCCAACAGTCTCCCACTTGGATAAGTCTAAAACTAAATTACATGTATAACTTTTGAATCAAACAGCAAAGTGTGCTTTCCAAAGCAACTACCGAACTCTGATCCAATCAGATATTGGTCCTAAGATAAGTGATCAAATATTCTTCCGTTCTAAATGATATTGTATGGACATGAGACATGAATTAGAATCAATATCATAGTCCAAGAATCTGTTTCCCGATTTCATGATTTATGACGACTAAATTCAGACTACTAATTGAACACATCAATTCAGTCCGGGCTCCGCCAAGTACTTCAGATGTCGACAACAAATCATCGAGGGCCCCAAAGATATCTCTTTTCCTGTTAGAGAAAAAGGAACGAATACACTTTGATTCATATGCGTGTATCTTTTACTCACAAAATCATGCATGATACTATGTTTTATAACATCATGTTACTGATGCGGTTTCGCAATACCAATGCACAACCGACTTGCAAATTACAACTCATGTATCTCTTTTTTAAGAATATAAGATATTATCGTCTCACAATTACTCGTGATAGAATCCATGAAGTAATTCTCTGAGCATGGGTTTATCCAATATTCAAATTCCCCATTTTCTAACTACTCATGAACTTTATTGCAATCTTATTGCAATGTCTAATCCCCATAGACAATCTACAATTCAATTCATAACAGTCTTAATTCACTACTTACTTCCAAAAGTATGAGCGACTATGGAATTCGAATAATCAAATTATTCAAGAAGTAAAACATGCAAAGTGAAACAAAATAATAAACTAATTAACTATGGTCACAACCCTATTGAATATAAATAATCTCTATTATTTAATCACCATGATAATTACAACTTTATTCATTGTATAATGTTTCGAGTAATCAACTAACCACTTGAATTAAATAACATAAGTTATGCCATGTTATGAACATGCATACTATGCCTCTCTATGGTCCTTCCTTTGTGAACAGATCAACTGGGCATGATTCCAATGATGCTCATTTTACAATTCCAAATTCTTGTCACTATCTAAAATGTATTGGAATTCCAACTTTACATGCATCGACCTTCTATGATGTCGAGGCTTCTAAGTCACAGACACTGAGCTAATGATATTACAAAATGTTCCATTGGAACTTTGTTACTACAAACAATTCCATGGTAATAAATTTTCAAATTCAATGTACACTCCTTGAACACTTTTTCTTGCATTAAAGTTTCCAAGTCACATATAGATTTAATAATCAACTCTCATTATGGAAACATTTCCATATTCTCATACGACCATCAATTTTGACCAAGAATTATCTCAATCTAAAAATATGTCACTATGGTCCTCCAAAACAATACCATACTTCTAACTGTACACAAGAAACCAATCTTCAGTAAAACTCAGAATGTTCTTGACAGTTTTTTAACAACTCTAGTCACACAAAAATTCTAATCCTTTTCTTCTCAATGCTCAAGGCATTTGGAAAAATCATAATAAGTGAATATTATAGCATATGTAATCGTTCCTATATCTGAAACATATAGGACTCGATTCATTATGTCTCACATAAGGATTTCATATATGTTCTATCTCTTACTATAATATTCTCATATATCAAATCTCCTATGTTGAACCATTTCAACATGATATTCATATACGTCTATGACTAAGTCCTATTAAACTATATGATCTAAACCTTTAAATTCGAAACGAAGTATGAGTGCCCTATCCTTTAAGTCTATCACAGTGAAACAATTTCCAAACTTTTCGTTTTGCAAATTGAAAACTTTGCTCCAGATGAACAGTATCGTCAACATGCAATACTTAGCATAACAGTTATGCTCCCACTAGCTTTGACATGTACCCAGAAATCAACTGGACTTCTAGAAATTAATACTCTTGACTTTCTTACTGAACTATAGATTTCTGTTATGTGATGCTTCGATAAGTCTCCAACTATACTTCTTAATCTTATACACCTTCATTGGATAGCATATATGTGTGTTTAAACCCTTTCAGAACTTATAGATACATGTCTTGAAAGTTTAAAAAATTCCTTGTCATTCCTCACAATTCGAAATATGAAGAGCGATGTTGTAATCATATTGTGAATTTGAGAATGCAATTAACACAACCAACATCCATACTGATCTTTATCAGATCTTTTAAAATCTACGAGCAAAAGTATT